TGGAGTTTAGGTACCAGTCATGGACACCTCCCCACCAATTAGGAAACAGGACTTCTCCCCTACCCTGGAGGACTAACATCCAGTAACTCCAGTTTCTACTCCCTAGGAGACAAAGACATAGTCCCTGCTAGACTCTGGGCCACCAACTCCCTTCAGGACAGAAGGGTCTGGATGTCATGCACCATGGTTCCCAAAGAAATCAGGATTCCTGGCAGGGCACGGTGGCTCACGCCTGTAATCCTAGCACTTTGGGAGGCCCGGGCGGGTGGATCGCCTGAGGTCAGGAATTCAAGGGCAGCCTGGCCAACAGGCTACTAAAAATACAAAAATTAGCCAGGCTTGGTGGCAGGCACCTGTAAATCCAGCTACTCCGGACGCTGAGGCAGGAGAATCGCTTGAACCTGGGAGGGAGAGGTTGCAGTGAGCTGAGATCGCGCCATTGCACTCCAGCCTGGGCAACAAGAGACTTCGTTTCAAAAAAAAAAAAAAAAAAAGGAAAAATAAAAAGAAATTAGGATTCCTGTTCCCCAGACTCTCTGAATCCAGGTGATGAGAAGTCACACATCCCAGCTAGAAATCAGAGTCCACATCCCTTTCAAGCACCCAGGATTAAGCCCAGGCATCCCCTGCCACAGTCTGGACCCTCAAGCCCCCTCCCACCTCTCACTGGGCAGACTCAGGGGGTGCCAGCACAGCCTCAGCATCAGCCCGCATCTCATCCAGAGCCTGCAGCAGTACGCCGTGAGCCGCTCGGTAGCCCAGGCCACCTGTCGCCGCTGCGCCACCCGCAGGCCACAGGAAGGAGAGAGCACCCAGTGCTGCGCCCCCAGCAGTGCCCTCGCCCGCCCAGGCACCCAGCCTTGCTTCGACCTCGGCGCGCGTCACCGGGCCTGGGAAATGAGCGCGCGCTGCCAGCTCCCCAGGAGCCAGGCCCAGGGCACGCTCACGTCGAGCCAGTGCCGCGGGTTCCAGTCCCAGGCCCCGTCGCCACTCTGCCAGCTGACCCCGCAGAAGTGCCACGTCGCAGGCCCAGCCCAGCCCTGGGAGTGGTGCCGCCGCCGCTGCCAGACTAGCCAGCAGAGCTGGCCTCCACGCCCCGGCCCGCAACGCTGCAGCCTTGGTTCGGGCAGCGCTGGGAGATGCTGGTGGCAGTGCCAGCAGCAGCGCCCCTGCCTGGGCTGGGGGGAGCGCTTGCCGCAGCCATTCGCATAGCCCTGGGAGTCCACCAGGCCGTAGGGGGAACACTGGCGGCGGTGCCTCCTCCAACACCTCCCACGTCTCGTCCTCCGGGCTTAACACGGCGGCCCGCTCTGAGTCGCCACCACCTGATTTCTTCATGCCGACAACCTGCTGCAAACCCTCGCTGCCAGCTTTCCCAGGACCTTCCCCGCTGCCTGCTTTCTGCGATCCAGCGCTACATTTCTCCCTTCCCTTACTGAGTGCATTCTCCAATCCCCCTCCGCTTGCGTTCTTTAAGCTCTCGCCGTTGGGTTTCTCCATCTTGCCTTCTCCCAAATACTCCGGATCCTCGCCCTCGCCGTCTGTGCGCACACAGACAAGAGGCGCATCTGGTAGCACCAAGGCCTGGACCTGGGCCCAGTCCTTCTCAGTGGGGGCCCCAGGGGTGACGAGGATGAGGGCGTCGTAGTGCGTTGGGTGAGAGGCTGCGGCCGCGGTGGTGGCAGTGCCCGTGGGGCCCAGAGGCACAGTCCAGAGCACCACATTCGGGCGCTCTGGGGCCGGGAAGGGAGTGGGCCCCGTGGGCGCCGAAGCAGGCGCAGCACCTGGGTCGCCAGGATCCAATCCAAGCAGCATGTCCACCACAAGGCCCACGTCAGCCTTGCCGGCCACGGCCAGGTCTAGCCGTGCGCTGCCCAGGCGCTCCAGGCCTGAGCGCACCCACGACAGCGCAGCCTCCAGGCCGCCGGTCTCAAAGGCCTCACGCACAGCCTCCAACTCTGCTGCACCCAGCACCTCGAAGCCATCCTGGGCCGGGGGCAGGAGCCTGTGGGGACAAGAAGGGTCAGGGTCAAAGGCAGAAGAGGGGCTGGGTGACATGGACTGGGCTATGAATGACAAGGGCGGAGCTTTCCTAATGATCCCAGAATGGGGCAGGGATAGGAAAGGGAAGGGCCAGACTGACGGCACGGCAAATAGAAACCAGATGGAGAGGGGCCATGATGATATGGGCGGGGCTTCAAGCAATAATGGAGTCTTGATTATTGGACAGGTGGACTTAAGGTCAGGTTTCCCACTCTAGCTTAAAATGGGGATTGGGCTAAGACTTCCAAGGAATACAGTATTTGGGGGCGGGGCTTTTCCAAGGGTCGGCTGTGCTGGGTGGGACAAAACTCACAGAGGGTGGGGCCTAGAACAAAGAATCGCAACTGTATTGAGGCCTAAACACAAGTCCAGCACTATTTGAGACAGACAAGGTCGCCAAGGCACTCTTTTCAGAGGCTGGGCCTAAGGAGGGTCAGTGAGGGGAGAAATTTCATCTACTAGTTCTTACCAAGGGGGAGTGGCTAAGGTGACTCCCCACCAGGTGAGGCTAAGGAAAAAAGATGATAGTGTACTAGGACAAGGGACTGTCCCTCTCTGAGCCTCATTTTAAAGTCTGTAAAATGAGGAGGCTGGCAGGTGGTAGAGCAAATTCAGGAGGTAGCCAGCAAGTGGGCACAGAAACGAGAGGGAGCTGGAGAAAGGAGGTGGATGAGGATGCCCCAAGATCCTCATTGCTGGTGTGGCTTTAGGTCACTTGAAAACCAAACTGATGGTGGGGAGGGCTCAAGGATTAGAGTTTTCAGGTAAAATCTTCCAGGGGGCTGGGCAAAGTGTCTCACGCCTATAATCCCAGCACTTTGGGAGGCCAGGGAGGGCGGATCACCTTGCTTGGGGCAGGGCCTAGAAAAAGGAGCCTCAGGGCCCCAGCAGATAAAGTGTTAAGATTTTCCCTTTTAATCCTAGGGCTTTGGGAAGCCTGGGTGGGGGCATGGCTTGAGGCCAAGAATTTAAGACCAGCCTGGGGAAACAGTGAGATCCTGTTTTGCAGCCTGTCCTATTAGCTACTCTGGAGGCTGAAGCAGGAGGATCATTTGAGTCCAGGAGGTGGAGGCCCTCAGTGAGCTAGGATAGCAGCACTGCACTCCAGCCTGGGCGATAGAGTGAGACCCTGTCTCAAAAAAAAAAAAAAAGGCCGGGTGTGGTGGTTCACGCCTGTAATCCTAGCACTTTGGGAAGCTGAGGCAGGAGTATTGCTTAAGGCCAGGAGTTCAAATTCAACCTAGTCAACGTAGCGAGATCCTGTCCCTCGGGAAAAAAAAATTAATAATAGAGCTAAGCTCTTTGCCCCAAACTCACTGGGGGAGGGATCTCATGGATCTCAAATAGGACCTAGGTGTGTAGGGTCTCAACTAAGGGACCAAGCCAGAAAGCACTCACCTCCGCAGCGCTTCTGCCTGGCTCTGCAGCGCCGCCCGGAGGCGCTCTAGCTCCTCGCAGCCGTCGCTGCTGCCGCAGTTCGCCGGTAGCACAAACAGATCCGCAGCTCCCAACCCCGCGCTGTTCAGCAGAGCTGCTGTCTGATCACGGGCCTGGGCCGCAGTCTGTGAATCCCCAGGACGGAGGTTCCGCACAGCCAGTAGCGGGGTCCCTCGGGCCAGGGCGGCCCGCGCTGCCTCTCCCAGGGCTGCAGCCAAGGGTTCCCCGTTCCCCTCGGGTCCGGGCAGCACCAGTACCAGCACGTTGGCTTCAGCCGCCCAGGGCCCCGGCGTTGCTGGTGGGCAGCTCAGCTCGCCCAGAAAAAGGCCTGGGCCCGCAGCTCTTAGGCTGGGAACCCCGGAGTCCGGCCGTCCCTCCGGGGCCTCGAGCGTCTCCACATCCTTGTCGCACAGCGCCGCGATCAGCGCGGACTTCCCCAAGCCAGGAGGCCCCAGAAACAAGGCGGTCACGTCACCCTGCGGCGGAGGCATGGCTGGAAAGCAACGGGTGGAGAAGACCTGGGTCAGGGAGCACCTAGCCTTTTCCTTTCCTAGCCGCCCCACTCGGAACAAAGGCCTCAGTCCTCCCCCCGGTCCCCTTCGGTTCTTGAGTGTCTCTCTCCAGGACCTAAAAAATCCAGAGCCCAGACCCTATTCCCCAGGGATTCCAGGCGCCCTGTCTGTCCGCCCTCTTTCTAGATGGAAACGTTTCCCTTTCTGCTTCAAAAACTCTGAAATCAGGCGCGGTGGCTCATGCCTGTAATCCCAGTGCTTTGGGAGGCCGAGGCGGGAGGATCGCTTGAGGCCAGGAAATCGAGACCAGCCTGGCCAACATGTGGGACTCTCTGGTAGAGTCTCCGTCTCCACAAAAAATAAAATTTAGCCGGGCCATGGTGGCGTGCGCCGGTAGCCCCAGCTACTCGGAAGGCTGCGGCGGTAGGATCGCTTGAGCCCAGGAGTTGCAGGCTGCAGTGGGCAGTGATCACACCACCGCACTCCAGCCCAGGCGACAGAGCAAGACCCTCTCTCAAAAATAAATAAATAAAAATAAAACCTCAGAAATCTGGCTTCCAGTCCCTCCTCCCTCGGACACATTGTTATTTTTATCCTTCCCCTTCCCCCTTCCACATCACAAACCGAGCAAAAAGCCGACCCACGGGATGAGCGCAGTCGGTGGCGGTGGGTCAACAACTGAGAAGCCCGACCCCTCGGCCGCAGCGGACGGAGGCCGAAGAGGCCAGGGCGCGGTGATTTAAAGATGCCGGGACGCGTCCCAGTAGCTTTAACCTGACGTCACTCCCTCTTCCAAGGGGGTGTGTCTTGGAAGCGCTACCGCAGAGACCTAGCCCTTCGCAGCGCCTGCGCAGAACGGCCGAAGTGCTCACGCCCCTGTTCGGCGGCCTCGGGGCCTCGAACAATGAAGGAGTCAACGCGCCTGCGCGCCACGAGCACCTACCCAGACTTGCGCAAAAAGCTTCGGTACCTACGCCGCGGGAGGGTGAACGTCATCATAACGCACCATAGTGCAGAGAAGGACCCCTCCCGTTATTTTGAGGACCGGACTGGTGCGACTATACTACTGCCGGATGCCAAATCCGGGATCTCGGCTCCGAGAGGCTCATCTGGCAAAAGGGCGCGGAAACCACGGGGGCCCTGAGACTGAGTGGGCTATCCCACTTCTCTCTGGGTGGCGGGGCTGTAGCTAGCGACTGACAGGCGCAGCGAAAGGCAGCCCTCTGCTGTACGGAGGAAAACTGAGGCCTGGGAGCAGGAACCTGTAGGCAGCGCTTGAGGGTAGCGGGATAGCGGCTGCTAGTGCGCGTGGGAGGCGGGGGCTCTGGGCGGAACAAAAAATCACAGGATGTCAGAGGATGTTTCCCGGGAAGAACTGGAATAAAGGGTGGGTATCACTACCTGCCCCAAGACACTTGAGACTGGGATGACGCTGGTGTCAAAGATCAAGACTCCCACGCTGAGTTCAGGGAGTTAGTTTGATGCAGCAGGTCATAGGTCACACCAGTGAAAAGACTCGAGTCCCAAACCCAGGAAGTCTTTTGGGAGGTTTGAAGCTTCTCTTAGCAAGAACTGCATCAATTAGAGTTCAAGGAGATAGTATGTCGTAAGGGTCAAAAGCAGGGAAGGAGAGCCTATGGCGATGTCAAAGGTCATAGACTTAGGGTGCCCTCTAAGACTGGTAACAGATGAACAGCTTCACTCATGCACGCTCCTCTCCTGACTAGAAGGGTCCCAGCACCATGGAGGACCCGAACTCTGAAGAGAACATGAAGCAGCAGGATTCACCCAAGGAGAGAAGTCCCCAGAGCCCAGGAGGCAACATCTGTGAGTACACATGGCTGGCTGGCTAGAGGAGGGTGGGGTGCAGGAGCTGATGCTAAGAAGATCTCTGTGGCACTTCAGTGTCCAAGGCGCCACAGAGTTTTGCCTGTTGAGAAGGGGCTGTAATGGTCCCTGAGCTGCCCTAGCAGGAAGTGCATCTCCTCACACCGGCTTATGTGGCCAGAGTACTCACCCTCCTCTGGCCACATAAGCAGGATTGCAATGCTTATGCATTCAGAGGGATAGGGTGGCTTCCAAGAGAGGCTTGGGTTGGAGACGTGGCTGGGAATGGTTCTATTGGGAGAAAAGCCCCAAGATTCTGGTCCCAACTGTGTCCTAGACTTTCAGTGTAACTTGAGCCTTGGTTTCCTTGACTGTCAAAAGAGGGTGGCACTATCCACCTCACAGGGTGGTTATGGGATTAACTGCAGCAAAGGGGAAAGCTAGGGGTTAATGATGGTAGCCAGTTTGCCATGTAATAGCAACACCTCCTGCTGTTTTATTATGAGCTAGGTGTATTTATTCTCATATTATGAACGATTTTAACATTCATTATCTCATTCAGTCCTTCTAATAATAGGCCCTTTAAACTGGGAACTGAGGCAGAGAGAGGTATTTGTAACAAGAGCTGTAGTCTCAATGCCCTTGAGCCTGAGATTACCGGAAACACACGTGCAGTTGAACACGTTGGGTTTATTTCTCGCTGCAATGAAGAACACACACCATGGGGGAACTGTGGGGTGTCTCACTAAGAGTGGTAAAAATGACATAGGATTTGGGCTTGTGGGTGGTGATTTTGGGGAATGTGTGAGCAAAATTGTTTTGCTGTGGATTGGATGCTACCAGGAAGCAGGGGCAATTCTGTGATTGGCTATCGTAATAAATCTTGTCCAGAAGGAGGAAGGAAGAAGGCAAGGCTCAAGCTCTGACTGATAAAGCAGCAGCAGACATTCACATGAGCCAGGATAGGAGGATGTTTGGTCATTTTTCTGCTTGGACAGCATTCATATTTTGTCTGTGCTCAGACATTATTATGATGTAGTCCTGTCTTGATTCATTCTAGTCACAGCATGACCTTGTCTGTCCTTGATATTTTGTGAAAATTTATGTTCAACAGAACACGAAGGTCTAGCTGTGAGTACCAGGCCATATCCTGGATGTCGGGCTGGATTTCTGTTATCATTAGTCATGATTGCAAATGACTGTACAGCAATTCATTTATTCCTTCCAACAGTCCTATGGAGTAGATACTGTTATTAGCCCATTTTCCAGATAAGGAAACTGGTGTAATTGCCTAGGAAGTGGTGGAGCTGAGATTCAATCCCAGGCAGTCTGGCTCCAAAGGCTGTGCTGTAATCACCATACCCCTCTGTTGGGCAGGCTGACTCTCTGGGTTCCAACCCTGGCTCCACCATTTCCTTTCCTAGCCTCATTGACTATGGGCAACTTGCCTAACCTCTTTGAATCTCAGTTTGCTCATCCATAAAATAGGTCCAAGAACAGTTCTCCTGTTTGGTTGTCCAGCATTAGCATAGAACCGAGCACATAGCACACTCAATGTTAATTGTTGGTATGATTCTGGGGTTCAGGAGAGGTCCTGGAGACTCCTGCCGGCCTCCCCTGACCTCTCCGCACATCTCTCAGGCCACCTGGGGGCCCCGAAGTGCACCCGCTGCCTCATCACCTTCGCAGATGCCAAGTTCCAGGAGCGTCACATGAAGCGGGAGCACCCAGCGGACTTCGTGGCCCAGAAGCTGCAGGGGGTCCTCTTCATCTGCTTCACCTGCGCCCGCTCCTTCCCCTCCTCCAAAGCCTTAATCACCCACCAGCGCAGCCACGGTCCAGCCGCCAAGCCCACCCCACTGGTTGCAACCACTACTGCCCAGCCCACCTTCCCTTGTCCTGACTGTGGCAAGACCTTTGGGCAGGCTGCTTCTCTGAGGCGGCACCGCCAGATGCATGAGGCCCGTGCCCCTCCTGGCACCTTCGCCTGTACAGAGTGCGGTCAGGACTTTGCTCAGGAAGCAGGGCTGCATCAACACTACATTCGGCATGCCCGAGGGGAGCTCTGAGTGCAGCTTAAGCGTCTCCGTGGTGACAGGTGGCTCTGTGGCCAGTAGGACTCACCCATGATACGGGGTGCAGGAATTCCGGGGGCCCTGAGGGATTTGCTTCCCTCCCCTGGGAAGGCAGAGGGCTCCTAATAAAGAGGACCCAGAAGATTCTCATTTAGAGCTTCAGTCTTTGGAGGACACAGGGCCTTCGTGAGACAGTGAAATCAGACAATAACGAGATCTTTCGTTAAAAAAAAAAATGGGAATGGAGTGCGGGAGAGAAATGATTTGTGTATCCCTTATTCCCAGTTAAACACCTAGCTGCAGACTGTGTCATCACCCTTCATTCTTCCCAGATGGATGCCATGGGCAATGGAAGCAAAATGCCCTGGACCTTTGCCTGAATGGGGGCAGGGAAGGTGAGGTGTTGCTGGCCTGTAATGCCACCGGATGAGTTCCAGATGTGGAGCAACTTGGGCTTTTGGGGATGGGGCAGCACAGTTGGGAGCTGGACCCCAATTGAGTGGGGGTGGCAATTGGAGTCCTTGTGTCTCTTTCCTACCCCCTGCCAACCTCACTCAGAGGGGCCATGGCACTAGATGGCACTAGTCCCCCGATAATTTATGTCTCATTTAAATAATTTTGTATATCATTCTGGTCATGAAATATTTTTTCATATGTGTAGGTGAAATGGTATGAATAAGCTAACAGGAATAGTATCTAAAAACAGCAAACATCCATATTAAAATGTCTAAACAGGGAGCTCTGGCTTTTGAGTGGGAATTTCCAGAGAACATAAGGGTGTGGGCAGGTGGGGGAACTCAGGCCAGAGTTGGCCTCGCTTTGTGGGGAAACTGGTTTGGAATCAAACAGAGATACCTTCTGTTTCGGGTTTTATTTGGCCAACACCGGGAGATTTCCCATTAAGATCCTATTTTCAGCTCTCTTGAAAGGCCCAACCTAGGGTGACATTGTCAGCAGGGGCAGGGCAGAAGCTACAACAGGCTGGAGGGGAACAGTGGGTGTCATCCTCAACTGGAGATGAGTCCCACCAGGCCAGTTGTACCCCCTTAGTTACTTGCCCTGCACTTGCAGACAATGGTCAATGCCCTGCACATAATACTTATAGACTCTGTTTATGTTGAGGGATGTTTTTAAAGCCCAGGTGAGGTGGATGTGGTAGACTGATCACTGTCTCTCAGTTTTTAGCTAAGCACATGGTAGCTGAAAAGACTACATTTCCCAGATTCCTTTGCAGCTAGATGTAGCCATGTGACTGATTCTGGCTAAATTCCTGGGTAGAACACTCAAGCTTAAGAAAGGGACGGCGGGGCACAGTGGCTTACACCTGTAATCCCAGCACTCTGTGAGGCTGAGGCTGGTGGATCACCTGAGGTCAAGAGTTTGAGACTAGCCTGGCCAACATGGTGAAACCCCATCTCTACTAAAAATACAAAAATTAGTCAGTGGTGGTGGCATACACCTGTAACCCCAGCTACTTGGAAGGCTGAGGCAGGAGAATTGCTTGAATTTGGGAGACAGGCTGCAGTGAGCCAAGATCATGCCACTGCACTTCAGCCTGGGTGACAGAGTGAGACTCTTTTTAAAAAAAAAGAAAAGAAAGGGACATACCTTTTTTCCACCTTCCTAACTGTAATACGGACATAGTATCCAGCCATCTCAGACCATAAGGACAAGAACGACACATGGGATGGCAGAGCAACAAGACAGCAGGAGCCTGGGTCTCTGGTCAATTTCAGGGAGCACAGCCACCATACCAGCCCACTTCCATATTGCTATCTAAGAAAGAAAGAAACTTCTAATTTAAGCCATCATTATTCTGGGTTTCTGTCACATGCAACAGAATTTACAACCTAAGACGGGGGTCTGCAAACTATGGCCAACTCTAGCCTGCTGCCTGGTTTTGCAAATAAAATTTTATTTGAACACAGTTTTATACTCATTCACTTATGTATTGTTGATGGCTGCTTTTGCCTAGAACAGCAGATCTGCATAGTTGCATCAGTGATCTTATGGCCTCCAAAACTTAAAATAGTTACCATCTAGCCCTTTGCAGGAGAAGTTTGCCAACCCCTGGTCTAATAAGACATTCAACCTACTCTGAGTCTGGAAGCAGAAATTTCGATCCTGGGAACCACCACCTTTACCAGGTAGGTAGGTAGGGTGTGTGTGTGTGTTTTGGGACAGGGCTACCCTGGATCTCTTTGCTGGGGTGACTTATAGGGAGACTGGTTGGAGTTAGTAGACCATCAGTTTTTTTCAAGATACCAACTTCACAAAGAGCCAGATATTTCCTCTGGCTCCTGGTGAACGCTCAGAAGTTTCCAACCCGGATATTTTCACACTACCCCCACAGTGGCTCCCCTAAACCCAAACCTAAGGATCTAATCCCACATGCTCTCCCAAGATAGCAGCCTGCCCAAGTACACTCTGGGCTTCCTGTTCTCTCCAGACGTCACAGATTCTCTAAATAGCATCACTGATGACTTCCACATTTTTATCTGCAGCCCAAACCCGACATAAGATATAACCATTTGAATAAACAAATGGAGATCTCAAACTTAAAATAGGTCAACATGACTCCTGCGGCCTGACCTGCACCACTGCCATCATGTTAGTAAAAAACTGTGCACTCTTTTAAATTCTTTTGAGTCTTGCTCTGTCTCCCAGGCTGGAGTGCAGTGGCGTGATCTCAGCTCACTGAAGCCTCCGCCTCCTGGGTTCAGGCAATTTTCCAGCCCCAGCCTCCCAAGTAGCTGGGATTACAGGTGTGCACCACTATAACTGGCTAATTTTTGTATTTTTAATAGAGATGAGGTTTCACTATGTTGCTCAGGCTGATCTCAGACTCCTGGCCTCCAGTGATCCGCCCGCCTGGGCCTCCCAAAGTGCTGGGATTATAGGTGTGAGCCACTGCACCTGGCCTTCATTTTTTTTCTTTTTACTTTTTTTTTCTTGAGACAGGGTCTCACTGTGTAGCTCAGGATAGAGTGCAGTGGCAAAATCTCGGCTCACTGCAGCCTTGACCTCCTCGGGCTCAGATGATCCTCCCACCTTCGCCTCCCTCCCTATAGCTGGGACTACGGGTGTGCACTACTATGAACAGCTAATTTTTTGTAGAGACGGGGTTTCACCACGTTGTTTAGGCTGGTCTTGAACTCCTGAGCTCAAACAATCCGCCCACCTCGATCTCCCAAAGTGCTAGGATTACAGGCGTGAGCCCCCGTTGTCTGGCTGACTTTCAGCCTTCTAACACCTGTGTAACTATTCCCTGTATCAAATCCTCTTTGGGAAATGCCTGGCCTGATTCCATATCCTGAATAGGTGCTGGCTGAATGACCCAACTCTTGATTTACAGTGTCTCTTTTGATCCTTAGGAATATTTGCCAATGATGGAAATTCTCTGTATCTGTCCTTAGAAATCTTATCTTACAGCAGAAGACAGGATGGGGTGCTGCTCCAGGAAATAAAACCTATGATCACACTTATCCATGTACTATGGTTAAATGTCTGTGTCCCCCTAATATTCATATGTTGGGAACCTAAGACCCCATGTGATAGTATTCAGACGTGGGGCCTTTAGGAGGTTGCAGAGTCATAAGGGCTCTGCCCTCATGAACAAGATAAGTGCCCTTATAAAAGGACACAAGGGAAGTAGCTAGGCCTTCTCCCCTTCCATCTCTCCTACCATCTGAGGACACAGCGTTCGTCCCTTTTTGCCACCTTCCACTGTGTAAGGATGCAGCAAGAAGGCACCAACTTGGAAGCAGAGAGCAACCCCTAATAAGACACCAAATCTGTTGGTTCCGACCTGGAACTTCCCAGTCTCCAAAACTAGAGGAATTAACCTTTGTTCTTTATGAATTACCCAGTCTCAGGTATCACGTTACAGCCACACAAACGGACTGAGACACTGTTGTTTTAACGAGCCCGGAATTTCTGCTGATGATTCTGAGGTTCCAGCTAGGAAAGTCAGTTCAGCGTGGATCACTGTCAGGTTTGGAGATTCTGGGATAAGAAATGTAGGTTTTGAAAAATGCTTTGGTCTGAAATCCTGTAATAGGTGTCAAAAATGCAAATGTTGGCCGGACATGGTGGCTCACACCTGTAATCCCAGCACTTTGGGAGGCCAAGGCTGGTGGATCATTTGAGGTCAGGAGTTTGAGACCAGCCTGACCAACATGGTGAAACCCCATCTCTACTAAAAATACAAAAATTAGCCAGGGGTAGTAGTGCCGTGCCTGTGGTCCCAGCTACTCAGGAGGCTGAGGCACGAGAATCGCTTGAACCCAGAATACAGAGGCTGCAGTTAGCCGAGATCACGCCACTACACTCCAGCCTGGGTGACAGAGTGAGACTCCATCAGAAAAAAACCAACAACAACAAAAACCCAACATTAAAAAAAAAAAAAAAAGCAGATGCTCTTCAGGGCCAAGCAGGCAGGATTGGGGTGTCCAGATGTGGGACAGTGGTGACCGGGCACATAAGAGTGAATGCCTCCCCTCCAGAAAGTGACTCCTACTCAGCACCAACAAACTACTGTCCCCATGGGATCAGGGATTCAGCAATACAGATCTTAGAATTTTCAAGACAGTCCAGAAACTGCAATTTTTTTAATGTGAAATTACCCATTTTTCAACATTGGTAACCAACGTAACTTAAAAAAAACTCAATAGCTCGGTGGAGACCAGATACACTCCTGGAAATCGGATGGTGGCTGTGGGTACTAGACTGTCATTTCTAGTGTGTGGCTTGGTGATTAAGAGTGGATGCGCCTGGCCGGGCGC